CATGTACACAAAATAATAAAACATCAAGAAAATAATAATAATAATAATAATATCATGAACACAGACCAATATAGAACATCCTCATCAAGATCAAAAACGTTTAACGGTTTAATTTTATCGGATTCAATGTGTAAGTATGTACGACCAGAGAAGGTAAGTTCCGATAACATACAGGTAAAAATATCTTTTGAATCTGGCTGTGATTGCAGCAGAACGTTAACATTTTTAGAGCAACAAAAAATTGATCGAAGTAGTATATTCCAAGCTGATTTTGTTCTTTTCTCTCTATTTACAAATGATGTTGCTAATTTAGGTCCTGATATTGCTATAAAAAATTGTCGTGTTTTAATAGAAAGTGTAAGACAATTGTTTCCTCATTTAAAATAAATTGGATGGCTAGCACTATCGCCACGATCAAAACCATCAAAATTATTCAATTCTATAGATATTGACGAGAATTATCAAGAATTTAATCGACATCTTAATAAATTAACAAAAGAAATGAATTTCGAAGTAATCTATGCTAATCTTCAACACCAACACATGCATTACGATGGCTTACATCCATCAATACAGTCCGGACGTGTTCTGATCGAAAAAGCACTTTATAATTGGTTTCTAAAACAGATGAAACAGTTTTCTATTACATCATATCATCACCCTACTATTACTTCTAACTATCATCAACATAACCAGACTACAATTACTCATCCTCATAATAATAATAATTCTCATCATCATAATCATACAACTACTAATCATAATCATTATAATCATGCTACTACCACTACTAATATTTCTCATCGCCATAATTCTTTCACTGCTGCTACTACTACTAATAATAATAATCGTCAAAAGAAAAACGATGCATTGAAAGAAAAATTAAATAACTTACCAAGTAAGTCACTCATTCCATATTATCCACATTTCTTGCGGCATAAAGATGAATTCTTTCGAAAAATTACAATACCAATAGAATTAGAAGAAAAAAAAGAAGATATTTTTCTGCTAAGTAACATTCATTTTCAAAAAGAATATTTTCAGTCAGAAGCTGAAAAATGGAAAATATCCATGACAGCTGCAACGACTAAACAAACAGTCGAACAAATAGAACCAATGGAAACTATAATAGAAGAAAATAATAACGAATTGCCTATTGCCAGGCCATCACCTACAGGTCTAGCAAGACCTCCAACTACGTTAGACTTCAGTGATTTTCCTGAAATTTTTGACGAATGGTTGCCAGAAGCAATTCCAGGACAAAAACGAAAACTAGGGCATCGACGTGATGATCCACCAACACCACCATCTCCTAGGCAACCACCTCCGATTATTCCAAGAAAAACATTACCACCACGGAATCATAATATTCCACTAGTTGTAAGATCTCTATGTTCATCACCAGTATCAGACACAAAAAATAATCAAAAACAACAAGGACAATATTCTTTCAATGCACTTATCCCTCATGAAAGATCAAATGTAACAGAACAACACCATATACAAACACCTAACGTAGTCGTACCACTAGTAAACGAACCCTCGATGATAATATCTCCTTTACAAAGTTCGACACCATAAGTAGTAATAAAATCACCATCAGTCATGCCAAAGAATAATGTAACATCAAATAAATCATATCATTTTTCGATTATCCCTATCGAATGCAGATATTACTTTAAACAAATGAGACAAAAAAGCACATTTGAATCGATAAGAACTCATCAGAATTTTCTTCAGAACAAATATGAAACATTAGAAAACGAGAGAGAACAAAGGTTACATGCATCATTTGACAAACAGATGTGGCCACAAATAGTTAATTTCGTAAAAAGTATTCTCGAAAAAACACTTGAGAATAAAAAGAAAAGTGATCAAAAAAGACTAGAAAATCTTCAACTAGATCAAATGAGAGAAGAAGCTAACTTGAAAATCAAAGAAATAGCATCACAATCAGAACAACAATCCATACAATATTTACAAGGAAAATTTCAGAGAACATTAGATCTTAAATTGCAATTGGATAAATTAGAAAAAAGATTTGCAGAAAATATGCCACCACCATCTCTCAATATATTTGATAAAATAGAACTACATGCAAAAGAACTTAAGTCAGATAACACAGACTTATGTTCTCTTCGAGAACAATGGAAAAATATTCTACGCAAAACAAAACTAGATCTGACAATGTTAATGAGACGAGCAAAAATAGTTGAAATAGAAGAAGCGAAAACAGAATACAACGAATTGTTAAACAAACTTTCAGATAATTTTCGACAACCTCGTGAGATCTTATGTGATGTAATACGAAAGAGACATGAGCAATATAGAAAAAAGAAATTGAATTTTTTAGCAAAAAGGGCGTGCATAATCAACGAAAACTAATGCACGCCCTATCACATCACCATCCGAAATATCCAAAAGCAAAATTGCATCCACATTATAGTCGAATTAGTTTCCCACCTCAGGCAAACAATAAAGCTTACATACTACAGGATACAGAAACTAGAATACTCAATTTAGGACCAAAATTTGTTCCTCCAGCACCTGAACAAGTTTTACAACGGCTTCCAAAAGAAATCGAGCAGATGAAAGAAAAAGTGTCAGCAGCTTGGAGAAGAGCAACCAAAACTATAGGGCGAGAACCGTCGATAGTAACGAATTTTTGTAAACAAATAGAAGAAGAAATAAGAAAAACAGTACAGCCAATGTTCCTAATAAGAACAGTTTTTTTGGAGCTGTCTGTAATTTCTTTTTTTATTAAGTCATTTCTAATAATAATAAAAAAACTTTTACATATTTGAGTGCAGAAATGTCTGCCGCATCGAATGGTGTAAAAATTAGCTAATTATCTCGAAAAATAATTAAGTAATTAGCGGTAGTTTGCGAGTAATTGAATTTGTT